AGTCTCTGGATCGGACTCGTTGTCGGATCGGTGGGTAAGCGAGCTCGACGCGCAGGAGCCATTCTGGAAGTCTTCAACAAAGGCTGTGAGAGCACGTGATCAAACTACCTCGCGTTGTTTGTCTCGACGATACTTGCCAAACAACACCATGGATCCTTTCAATGGCGCTACGACTTCTTTGCCTGTCCCAGAGAGCTTTCAAGCGCCTCAGCGGACGGGGACGACGGCTTTATGGACCCATCTTCTCAGGAAAGACGCGCAGGCGTCCAATAACATCGGAATTATACCACCAATTGCCCCTATTGATAAAAACGCGACGACGATGCGTGTGCTACTGCATGATACACAGGCCAACTTTGAAGCGTTCTCTGCGAGAGTCGACAAGTTAATAAACGTCGTAGAAGAAACGAAACGAGAGATTAAGACGACAAGCACATTATTCGAACGCGAGCATGATACCCTCGTTGGAGATGTCATTGATCTAGGTGCGTCCGTCTGGCTTGAACTATGCGCATACATTTTTTTGCTGACTACACCTATCTCTAGTGAACAGAAGTCAAAAGGAAATTCAAAATTCAATTGGAACCCCAACACAAGCCCCGGCCACAGACGCCTTTTTCAAGGACGTCGACCGACGACTAGAGGGTTTGAATCAACGCCTCGATGCCGCTCATGCTGTATGAATACATGCTTCTCTCTTCTTCGAACATTCTCAATCTGAACATATTCTTCTATTCCTCGTTTTCAAGTTTAACCAAACTCACTCACAGGCTCTTCAAACACAGATGCAAGCCATACTAACTCTCCAGGAACAGCAAGGGACGATCCTAGCTTCTGTATTACCCTTACTGCCCCTCGTTCAATCTATTCCGCTTCATTTGGAGTCCCTCAAAACTGACCTTCGTGCTGCTGTTCAAGCTGAAGCCGTTTCTATAACACCTAAAGCTTCGACTGGATTTAACCAGAACCAAACACTCCCGTTAGCCAAAAAAAGAACTCACTCTGATGTTGATGTAGACGCCAATTTCTCTTCGCCCATGTCTTCCCTGTTGACGGCCAAGCGGGCGCGTGTCGAGAAAGCGACGGAAGCTGCAGAAACTACATCAGCCAAGAGGGATTCCGAGACCGAAGCACCCCGCCTAGCAATGTCGTCTCCAGACAAAGAACCGCCCAAATCCTTGATCGTCTCTTCTCTCCTAAAACAGCTCCAAAGGACTTCAACGTCTCCTACCGGAGTTGTCAACACCTTGTCTGCCTCTCTTGGTAACGCAACACCTCGTCGGCCCCTCGCAGATATCTCCCTGGCACAACTCGAGCGTCCTCCGTCTATCGCAGGCCGCCTTTCAAGTCGTTCGAACACTTTGTTACCTAGGGCTTCGTCACCTCTCGTGCTTGGAATAACACCATCTGCTACACGCCCGCCACGCATACTGCGAGTCCACACGTCAACTTCAGGATCAGCTCGCAATAACAATGCACCTCCAGGCTCATCTAAACCAAACTCGGCAACTGCAGCGATCCCGGCTTTACTCACCGAAAAAACCAAATCCTTTGCAAGCAATGGGAATCTGCTACTGACCTTGGCGCTGAAAACGCCTGTTCGCGCTCCTTCTGTTGCTCCTATACGCCCTCAACAGTCAACTCCGCTGAAGAGTACACCACGTCATCCAGCTCCTGAACCGTCCTCAAGTTCGAATCTCACCGAACCTTCTCAGTCGGAGATCCCAACGGCAACTAAAACCTCAGCCATGTGTCCTCCCCGCCCTCGACCAATTCGCAAAAATACTCAAGTCCCAAAGCCTGACATAGTTCCAATTACTCCCACGGTTCCAGCTCAAGAAATAGTTCCTTTCAAGAGCTCTCCAATTGTCAACCTCGCGGAGGGACAAAGAGAACGACGGTCGCCTTTCGTGAGTTGTATTATATCTTAGCTTTCCTATACTTCATTAGTGTCAGCAGAGAGCAGGGAGGCGATTTATTCCTCTTGTGGATACGGACGAGGAAGATGAGGATGAGTGAAGCAGTAGAATTGGTGTACATTTATAGAGTGCTTCAATGTCCAATTGTTTCAAGTTCGCTCAAACCGGAAAGCTACTCTCGCAAATGTCCTATCCAAATCTCAACAGGGGCACCGCCAGCTCCCGCCCTCTCACCAACTTTCTCAAATTCTACACCAATTTCAGCTGCCATATCCCACAACGTCCTTTCAGCTGCATCTCTTTCCTTGTATCCCAACAGGATCGCAGACGGTTTAGAGCCCAAGCGCAATAGTTTATCGAGAGTCCGAATGAGCGAGGGAAATGACGCGGTGTTGTATGTGACGTCGGCCATCCTAACAAATCACATCAGTTGTGTTGAATGGTCAGTCGACGATAGAGTACCAACACAATGGCGTCAAGCCCGTCTTCGAGGCCGGTGACATCTTGTGGGAAGTCTTCGTCGTCCCAGTCTAGTACGACGGCTTTTGGAGACGTTGTGAATGTGTGCTGATTACTTGAGATATTTTGTTCGAGGAGAGGCATTGCAGATGCTATCATGATTTTTGTCATTACGCTGCACCCATAGAAAGCAAGAAACTCACAGACGTCGGTGGCGATAATGTCATCGGGGAGATTACTTGCAGATCGTAATGCTGCAATCGCAATTGCAACAAGGCCCGTTCCCGCTCCTAGAACGCAGAATTGGCTTAATCTGACGATGAAATGAGCTCAACACTAACCTAGTTCCAGAATTGTACGACGTTCAGAGGAAAACAACGCGTCCCTCATCTGTCTGACGGCGGCACTATCCGAATCTAAATTGGTACGATTGCAGAGGCCAACCAACCAAGAGCTTAATCCAATCCCACTATCCCAGATTTTCTAAAACGCTCTAAACAGCATCAGAAGGCGTTCTTTCCATGAGTATGACTAAATTTCACCTTATCAAGGTCAAACGAGGTCTGCTCCGTGATTTTTAAATCCATGGGCAGGTTATCCCTCTTCCCATCATCTGCTTCGGCT